GAATTAAATTTCCAATTAATTTTTCCAAGCAGCTCTAAAAATTCCCATTAACATATTCAAATACTCAATTTTAATTTCTGAACCCGTAAAGGTCGATAATTTCAATTTTAAAGCCGTGACTCAACAGATAATTTCTCAATTTGAACAGATTGCATTAAATTAAAATGCATTAACCCACAAGGACTTAAAAGTAATTTCAGATACGGATTTTGGGGTCGTTACAGAAAGTGTTGGCCTCACCTTTATTTTTTCATTTTTTATTTAATTTAATACTTTTGTAAATAACCTAACTTTCTTCGTAATATCTTTTAGAAATTGTTAAATTTAAATACATGAAAGGCAGTATTGTTGTGGCATGTTACTATATTGCACCACTTGCATAGCTTTAGTAGATATATGCTAAGAGCGCTTACAATTTTGTTTGACCTGAAAGTCTTTTAACTTTTTTATATGCATGTAAGAAAATGTGCATAATTTGTCATGGTTAAACATTATGATGTTATTTTTATTTATCTTTTATTTTCCTTTTCTGTCTTTCATTTAAAAAGAGAGAAGATATTGTGGATGTGTTCAAAGTCTTTGAGAATTTACCCAAATTAAGGAATCTCATGAATATCAATTTATTTATATGTGTGATTGCAGCAGAATGTTCATGTTCATGTTCTTAATCTTTCTTTGGACATTGGTTGCTGCTTTATCATTGATAGTTCTTATGTTTCAATTGCCAAGAACTTTATTTTCATTATCTTTTTCAATATTTCGTTAACAGGTGACACCATTTGCTTTGCTCTCATGCGCTGCGGCTGGAATAAGAGATTAACATGGGTAAGGCCAAAGATTCTCATTACAATTTTTTTCCCCCCTTTTAGATATTAGTGGAAATTTTTTAAAATATAACCCCTAATTTTCCTGTATCCCATCACAAGCAATGTATGGATTCATGCAGGTTAATATAAACATAAAATTTAACAAATATATGTATGCTAATAACCGTTTATGATCATGCTGAAAGTTATAAACAAATATAAGAAACATGTAAAACTTATCAGTTTATGTTGCAGGTATTTGTGCTTGATTTGATTAGTTTTTGCTTGGTGCAATTGTAAAGGCCTTGGTGTTTAGTTTAGTGTCAACATGCAGGTCTGAGTAGTTAATAATGTAGGTCAGTCACTGTACATAGTTCACCCCTAACAGCACGGCACATCTAATGGGATGGTTGCTGCAATTCAGACCCATCGTTCAGGTAACATTGATAATTGTTTCTGTGTTTTTTTATTTTGTGTTTCACTCTATTTGTGCCTCTCATAGTCTCTCTCTGTGTTTGTTGTGTTTGTTCTTGAATTTCCCTTGCTGCAAAACAGAGGTAAGTTCTTCAGTTCTTTGTGTTGACAATCCAGGGGCTTCAATGTTATTTTACATTGTTTATGGGTCATTTACATTAGGCTCTGTACTGTTATTATTAGAATTCCATTCTCCCAATTCCACAATTTTATTAATTAAGCTTAACTCATCTCAATCTGATACATTTTATCCAAGCACCAAGAACTACATTAGTTTTTGAACTGGTTGTGGTGACCATTGAGTGTAGAACACCATTGAGTGTATATTGGTTAGTTTTTTATTTTGTTGTACGCTGGTTAGTTTTTCCAATTTTCTATAGAACACCATTGACTGTTTTTTTTATTACCACTAGTTAGTTTTTTATTTCGTTGTACATTGGGGTGATCCTCCTATTGTTATTATAGTAGCAACAAACCTGGGGTGATCCTCCTGTTAAAATTAGAATTTGATTTTTTTATGATGCTTCTAAAGTTTTTTTTTTTTTTTTTTAAAAAAAAGGAAAAAATGGAGAAGATTTCGTGGATGTGTTTAAAGTCTTTGAGAATTTACCCAAATTAAGGAGTCTCATGAACATCAATTTATTTATATGTGATTGCAGCAGAATATTCATGTTCATATTCACCTAAAGTTACAGGACTTGACTATGGGATGTGGGTAAAGTCTTTGAGAATTTACCCAAATTAAGGAATCTCATGAATATCAATTTATTTATGTGTGATTGCAACAGAATGTTCATGTTCATGTTCATGTTCATGTTCATGTTCAAATTTTGATTAGCATACCAAACTTTTAACACACTGACGGGTTAGCAAAGCAGTGAAATAAACTGTTGTTATCATAGCAGCCACAAACTTGGGGTGATCCTCTTAAAATTACAATTGGATTTTTTTATGATGCTTCTTAAGTAAAAAAGGAAAAAAAAAGAGAGAAGACATTGTAGATTGAAAATTCACAGTTTTGTTAATGTATACAACAATCTTATGTATTTCGATGCAATTGTTTGGATTTGATTTATTTGTTTGTTGTTTTATTTTTATCTTTTCATTGTAAGTGTATATCAAATCTCTTTTTCACTGAGTGTTTTGTGTAATACGGTTTATTATAATTTTTATTTTCTTCATTAAAAGTGTTCAGGTTCTTTGAAAAAAAAAAAAACAATACAAAAAATAATCAATGTTCATAAAATTGATTTTTTGTAAATTTGTTTTTAATAGTTTTAATTGTGTTTTTATGAATTATAAGATAGGCGATAAATTTATTTTAAATTGAAATTGATAATTCAAAACTAAGCTCCATCAGACACATTGAAAACAGTATGTATGGTTTAACCAATGTGCGTTTTTAGTTTGTTCCATTGTATTTTCAATTATCTTTTTCATTGTTTGTTTGTTCAATTGTATTTTTTTCCATTGTTGTGTTGTTCCAGTGTTTGGCGTTGTTTGTCCCATTGTTTTTGGGAATGTTCCATTGTATTTTCAATTGCTGCACTTGGTGCAGAAACTAATCCCAAACACATTGCACAATAGGTATTGGGTTAGTTTTGAAGTTCCACTTATGTGAAATTGACAACCCTAGAGCCTTCCACCACTGCGGGTAAAATGCCTCCCATCCCTCTTCAATTATTCACAATGGTGAATAAAGTATTTTTTATTCACAATGGTGAATACAGTATTCCCACCCTCTTGCTTTAGTTGCCTTCATTAAATTGCATCCCACCCTCTTGAATTATTCGCACATTGTGAATAGAGTATTTTTTATTCAGAATAGTGAATACAGTATTCCCACCCTCTTGCTTTAGTTGCCTTCATTATTGTTTATAAAATGGTTTTGTTGTCTGGTGATTTTTTTTTTTTTGCATAAATTTATGCAAATAAATAAAAGGACACCATTTTTTATTCTAACATTATTAATACCGTGCCTTCATTTATAAATAAAAAGGACACTGTTTTTTGCCTTCATTTATTTAAAAGGACACTGTTTGGTGCCTTTATTATTATTATTTTTAATAAAAAAATGACACAAATTTTACAAATTTCAATATTATATGTATAAATTATAATTACATTTTGATCCTAATGTTATTTATACCGTGCCTTTAGGCATGAGCATGCACTAGTATATATATATAGAATGAGGCTTCACGGGCACTGTTGGGCCCATGGAGGCTCACTATGGGTCCCGTTTCGATAATTCGAACCGATGAATGTGTAAAACTCGTCGAGTACTATATGCCTGTAAAAAATCACGTTGATCGGATATCGATAGCTGTGTGATCAAAATAGTTTTGTATGAAAAAATGGACAGTGAAAAATAAACGGCTGACAAAAATCTGATTTGATCACATAGTTATCCATATCCGATCAATGTGATTTTTTTTAGGCATATAGTAATCAACGAGTTCTACACGTTGAATGGTTCAAATTATCGGAATGAAATTCGTGGTGGGCCCCCACGGGCCCAATAGTACCCTCCAACTTAATGAATATATATATATCTAATTTGTAATTTGTACCATTACAGTGTATGTACGTAATTTTCCCCATCACTTTAGTACCATCACCTGTGTAAAGTTAGATTGTACTTTTTTTGTGTAAATTATTTTTTTTTGTATTTTTAATTTGTGAATAGTGATAATTTTTTTACTTTTTTAGTAATTTTTTGACTTTTTGTCTTTTTTATAACATACCAAACCAGTCCTGAATATCCATATGACACAACTATAACCCATTTTCTTATGTTTGGCACTGAGTATTCAGACAAATTTCATATGTTGGGAATTAAGTATTCGAACAAATATATTTGTTCGGTATTGAATATCCATATGAAATAACTTAAACTGATTTTCTTTTGTTCAACACTAAGTATTTGAACAAACTTCATATGTTTCAAATTAAGTATCTAGGCAAATATATTTTGTTTAATATTGAGTATTCATATGAAATAACTATAATCGATTTTCTTGTGTTCGGTACTGAGTATCCATATGAAACAACTGGAACTAATTTTCTTATGTTCAGTACTGAGTATTTGAACAAATTTCATATGTTTCGAATTAAATATCTAGACAAATATATTTTGTTCGATATTGAGTATCTATATGAAATTACTATAATCGATTTTCTTATGTTTGGTACTAAGTATTCAAAAATTGGTAGCCGCCGATGGATGTAGAGTCGGAGAAGATCTTTGTCTAATATGGGAGGAGGCCATCGATGGATGTAGAATGAGAGGAGACGTTTGTCGCTTAAAATATCTTTTCATTTTGGATGAATTCTCTTCATGGTTTAAAATTCTATTTTGATTTTGTTCCTCTATTTATAAGTAAAGTTTCGTTTGGTATTGACTAATATAACCAACTTTTTTGTGTTAGGAGTTTTTTAACTTTTTTTTTAGCCTCGCTTGATTTGGATTTTTTGACTTTATAAATTTTTGTAAGAGAAAAAATATAATAATTATAAATTAGATATGATATTTTGTCTTATTAACTTTTTTTTTTTGCCATTTTATTTTTTTTAACCCTAAAATGATAGTTAAACGAAGGCTGAGGTATACAAAATAAATTTGTACAAGATTTTAAGAATTTTAAAGTTAGAAAAAAGTATTATTTAGAATATCCAAAGAAATTTTAAATTTATAGTTAGAATGATTAAAGTGATAATTTGGGCTGCATTTGAGAGAGAGAGCCTCCCAAGCGCAATAATTTGCCTTTCGGAGTCCCTTTTGCAACTCCCCACGACAGACCGCCACAACACATCTCTCTCCATTTGAGTAGCGAATGAATGAGAGGGCACACTAGTATATACCTGGTTGTGGCGTTACTTGTCCTCGGAGCTTTGACGTCTCTCAATGGCGGCGAGCTTTCAGACTGGAAGCTCTCCGGCATCATAATCCCTGGCTTCGCTTCCACTCAGCTCAGAGCCTGGTCTATCTTGGATTGTCCCTACTCTCCTCTCGATTTCAATCCTCTTGATTTGGTCTGGCTCGACACCACCAAAGTAATCAAATTTTCATTCTCTATCATCATACAATCGTCTCATACCAATTCACGATCCATGTACTCCGTTTCTTACGTTTTTTTTCTTTGTTTTCTATACCGATTTGTCTGTCTAATGCTGATATTCTGAGAACTACGTGCTTGCTTGTACGTGATAAGCATATATGTGTGTAGATATATAGTTGTTTCTCGACCATGCCTTGTACTTTGGAGGCATTTCTTTGTGAAATGCCAAGTTACTCATACTGCTAGTTAGAGATTTGTCCACTTCATGTTTATTAGCCAGTTAAGTCCAATTGGCTTTGAGTTGAATAACTCCAATAATTCCTAATTGAGCCCTAAATCCGAACAATTTATTTTTGATTAAAAGTTTATGTCTGTACATTTGACTTTTGTTCACAAATGGTGTGTACGGAGATTTTTATGGTGTGCGAATAGAATTTCCTTTTCTAATATGGAATGAGAGTTAGGCCTTGGGTGGCTCCTTGCCAAGTGTTCATCCCCCCTTGCCAAGCGTTCATCCCAAGTCCGTTTCTCCCATCTCTTATCTTCTACCTACTCCACATGTGCAGGGAATGTTAGAGATTTGTCCTATAATTATACTACAATTATACAACTGTAACTATTTTGCTATATTTTGCTCTGATCATTGTGAGTCAATTGTTATGACCTTAATTCTACTGATTGTCAATTTGAAAACTCCGTGATGGAGGGTAGAGCTCTCTTCGCATACTAGTGGTTTTGGGTTGTACCAGTTTCTATTTTAATTTTCATATTATGAAGTTGACATCCTAGAAAGAAATTGAATATTACATTCTTAATTGGGCTGTGTTGTCCATTCAATTTATTCGACTAATATAAATTAGCCCATCATATCTTCCCTAAGCAAGTGGTCATTCTTTCTTAGACAACTATTTTATATTCCATGTGCTGTTTGTTCAATGTGACTGTTGGTTTTTAGAAGTTAAAAGGTTTAAATGTATTATTTTTTCTTAATATCATGAATGATCGAAGAAGATTTACATCTGTACTGTAGCTTCTTTCTGCTGTCAACTGCTGGCTAAAGTGCATGATTCTAGACCCTTACAATCAAACAGACCATCCTGAATGCAAGTCCCGCCCTGATAGTGGTCTTTCTGCAATCACAGAGCTCGATCCAGGTTACATAACAGGTATTAATGTTCTTATTTTGCAATCACAGAGCTTGATGTTTTTGGTATTTTTTAGTGTAGGCTTTCAATATGATTGGCAGTTGCACAAAATATTTAAGATGCGTATCTACCTTATTTGGCGAATGTCATAATTAGCTTGATTTCTTGGTTTATTTGATTATGCATGGTCTTCAGGTCCTCTTTCTTCAGTGTGGAAAGAATGGATCAAATGGTGCATTGAGTTTGGTATTGAGGCTAATGCAATCCTTGCTGTTCCATATGATTGGAGATTGTCACCATCAAAGCTTGAGGAGCGAGATCTTTACTTTCACAAGCTAAAGTTTGTATACATTTTATTGTTTCTCGTGTATTCTTCTTTTACATTTACTTGCTATGATGCACATTTCTTGATAGATTGTTCTTGCACTACTTAATGCTTCAGAGCCACTTAAGAATAAGGCTGGAAATCCAAAATAATTACTTTATCACCATCAAATCTTGAGGAGGGAGACATGCTTTTGCAAGCTATACTTTGCATAGCTTACCTCCTGTGCATTTTACTTTTACTAGCAACATTTCTTGGTAGCCTAATTTGATCCCATTCCATGACAGTTTGGTTTCACAACTATTTTTGTATGCAGTTCTTAAATAAATTTGAAGCCTCAAAACAGAAGAGGCCTAATGATTAGCATCTCATACATATGCTTGAATGCAGTGAGATTACTAGCCTAGAGTGATAATGCAGACGCTGATCTGTATTGGTGGTATGCTAAATTTAGTCAGTTATTGCCTATACCCTCTTTGGACTTTGAAAATTGATAAAATTAGCAAAATAATCCACAGTCAAGCAGTTTCCAGTTGTTTCTTTTGGCTTTGATCAGCAGTGGTCTTGCTTGTCTGCCCTTTGTTTACCTTCACTTGTACAAATGATTAGTTTTTATTTACAAACAGTGTTGCTTATTTGCTTTTGCGTTTAGGCCTTTTAATCTTTTGGTTTTGCAGGCTGACTTTTGAAACTGCTCTTAAACTTCGTGGTGGCCCCTCAATTGTTTTTGCTCATTCATTGGGTAACAATGTCTTCCGCTACTTCTTGGAGTGGTTGAAGCTGGAAATTGCACCCAAACAATATATTGAGTGGCTAGACAAACACATTCATGCATATTTTGCTGTTGGTATGCCTGCACTACTTTAAAGTTAGATAATGATATACAAACATAAATTTTTTTTTTTTGGGTAGAGAATGATGTGGTTGAATTGGGCTTTTCATATCAAATCAAAACACCCATGAAGATGGATTTTCATATCAATTTAATTTAACTTGTTATTTCTAATCTGTATTTGATATCAGGAGCCCCTCATCTTGGTTCAGTTGAGACAATAAAAGCAACGCTTTCTGGATACACATCTGGTCTTCCCGTGTCTGAGGTTACAATATTTGTCTTCTTAATTTTGTTGGCAACATATACTTTTCCTAACCTTTCCCCCCCTTCATTTCCATTTAAATGTAATCTTAACCATAATTGCTGCTTTGGAGAAGCATTTAACTTTTTTGATAATTAGTTCTAAAAGACCACACTTTCTGATAGTGAATTGATCTATCTAATTTACATTAGCTTGTTGGAGTGCTTCAGGATCTGATTATGGTACCTTTTGCTATAGATGCCTGTATTAGTATGTTTATCATATGTTTTGGCATCCAGGGAACTGCTCGTTTGATGTTCAATTCATTTGGCTCTTCAATATGGATGATGCCATTTTCGAAGTATTGTAGGACAGATAGTGCATACTGGAAGCATTTTTCTGATGGGAGCAAAAAGAGTCATCATGCATACAAGTGTGATGAACGTGAATATCAGTCAAACTATTCTGGATGGCCAACAAATGTTGTCAATGTTGAAATCCCATCAGTGCAAGGTGAGACTTCAGTGCCATGTGCATTTCTTGTGGCTACAATGATTTCACCATGCTCATAGCCTCATAGGCTCTATTTATGTCTTACATTATCAGGAGTTGATGCTTATCCATCAATCATGGAAGTATGTCAGGCAAATATGTCTATGGAATGCGGATTACCAACTCAGTTATCCTTTTCTGCTCATGAAGTATCGGACGGGACCTTTTTCAAAGCAATAGAAGATTATGATCCTGATAGCAAAAGACTCTTGCACCAATTGCACAAGTGAGTACTTAGTAGTTGCTATGCTACACATAATATTTTGCTTACATTTACAAACGTCTAACACAGAATGCAATAATAACACAATGCAAGTCTTGAAAGTTGAAACTACTCATTAACCTTCTGAACTTCTTTCTTTCTAAAACACGAATCTAGTGTTGTATTTTATAAATTATTTGAAATAACATAACTTTCAGAGGTTGGCAGTATCACTTCTGTCTGTGGCCCTGTCAAACTGCTCCAGTGTCCTGTGATGGTTTAACTTAACTCAATTCAACAAGCCTTTGACCCAATTACCTGGGGTCAGCAGCCTTGGCAGCCTCCTGCAGGGCCATAACATTGAGAAAAATCATATTGTAATACTGAAGTAAATTTTCTTAATATTGATACCAGCTTTGTTGAAACTCTGTCTGTCCCCTAGATACTTGTCACAACAAGAAACAGTAGAAATTTTAGTCTCAACATCCTTTTTTTTCCTTCTCTCTCTCCTGTAATTTTCTTTTATACATGGGTGTGTGTGTCCATGTAGCAACAGAAACATTATACATGATGCTTTCTGAGCTTGGGAGCAATTTATGATTATAAACACATAAAAATAACTTATGATGTTGGTCTAAGTCCTTTTGCTGAGTATGTAAATGTTGAAGGATGGAATTTCTAGAAGTCATGGCGCTGCGACTGAAGTGCAAAATAGAAATTTTTCATGGAAAGCTTGTTCAGTCAATGCATTTTAGTCAAGTTCCATGTTCTTAGCACATATATTTTCAACTGTTTATTTGGTAATTGTGACCACTTTCTGTGTAGGGTAGTTCAGAATGGAATGGACTAATTGTTTGGATTGAAGTTGAGACCAGTTATTAATTGGGCTCAATAAGTTCTTGATTTGATTGGTGTCAGTTTCAGATAAACTTTCTGACTTTGTTCTCAACGTACTTATGTTTCAGTTCGTATCATGGTGATCCAGTTCTAAATCCACTGGTGCCGTGGGATAGACCGCCTTTAAAGAACATATTTTGTATATATGGAATAGATTTGAAAACCGAGGTATGTCCATATTTTACTAGTGAACTTTGCCTACAAATTTCCATGGCTAACCAATAATAAATACTTATAGATTCCTTTGTTTTTGAACTGTTGTTTTGGTTGGATATGACAAGTTTCAAATGTAATTCTTTTGTGCTGGCATCATAGCATTTATGTTTATTTTTTGTTTTATAGGTATAATGAGGCTCATTGATCTCTAGAATCTAGCCAGCATTAATTTCAATGTTGTTTAACCACAAGTTCCATTTTTATATTGAACTTATATTTGTCGGCTCCTCTAACCATAAATTATCGGGTTCTCTATGTCACTGCGGGCATAAAGCTTCATCTCAATCTCTATCCAACTTCATCATTTTGGTTTGTAGATTATAGCAACATTCCGTTAAATTCATAACAACCATTTCTACTTCTCATTATTATTATAGACTATAGTTACAAATATATTTTTTTTGCATTTTTGAATGTACCATGGCTAGCGGTTTGTCTATCCCATTCTGCATTTAACTGGTAACCATGTTGCGATGAATGATAGTTTGGCTTCTTTTCAATGGCAAAACAGGTTGGTTACTATTTTGCACCAAGTGGCAAGCCTTACCCAGATAACTGGATCATAACTGATGTCATATATGAGATTGAAGGATCTTTATACTCCAGGTAACTGTCATTTCCCTGATCAATGATCATATTGGACATTGAACAGTGTAATTTTCACTGGAATCTAATGGATTGGACTTGTAAGAAGTTTGTATTAAATGATGGTACTTCACGAACAAATGTTGACCGCACAGTAATTAGTTTCGTGTATCACTAGATCTTCAGCATATGATTATATGATTGGTTTGCAAACCTTGGTTTTGGACACATGAGGTTGCATGAATTATAAATATTTCATTTGCAATTTATCTGGTCTTCTTGGACAAGTGGTGTTGGCTCCGCTTTTGATGTATCCACCAGTAAATCCTGCACAATAAAAACCAGAAAAGATTTTTATGTTGTTAATGTGTGTAAATGGATACTTCTTTTAATTAAAACATTTTATCTATAATAACAATACCCTTTTCATATAACTTTTTCTGCACTCAAGGACATGATTTTGTTTACCTTTTTCCCCCCTTGTCAGGATGTACAGCAGCACGCGAAACATTTCATATCATGTTTTTTGGTAGCAGTTTTTTGTTTGCTGTGTTCATAAGGCACTGTCTCAATCACTCAAAAGGTTCCAGACTATAAATTCATACAAATGTTATTTCCATTCTTGTAGGTCAGGGAATTTGGTTGAAGGGAACCCAGGAGCTGTTAGTGGGGACGAAACGGTACATATAAATGGATGTTCTAGTATAGAATACTTTGATATGTTTCTGCTTCAAATATCTCCACTTTGAAGTACTCGTAATTTTTGCTTAAATGATGGAGGGAGATTCATTTACAGGCACCATACCATTCCCTCTCTTGGTGCAAGACTTGGCTGGGACCAAAAGTGAACATCACAAGGGCTCCTCAGGTACTCCTAATCAGTGTATATAATGAAAAATTGTCACTTTTCCCTTAATTTTTAATTTCACACCAATACAAGCTTCATTCTTGGTTTATTTTTGTTCATTTATTTTGCATTATTCATTAGCAATATTGAATGAAATCATACCTTTGTATTTGAAAATAAGATAATCTGTTTACTGAGAAAATATTTGATAAAAAGTGTAACATATTTCTGTTATGTGCCTTGAATGATTGGGCAATGCCAATGTGTGAACTGGTTCAACGGTAAGGCTTGCCATTAGCATCCCTGGTGTCACGGGTGTGAGTCACAGAAACAACCTCTCCAGAAATGTGGGTAAAGCTGGTTACACCTTGCCCTCCCCAGACCGTGTGTTAGTTGTAGCTTCATGCATTGGGTTGCCCAATACCAATCAATGTGCACTTTTTCATGAATTGGTAAATTTTGTGCCATGACATCATATTCTGCTCTATTATCATAATAAATTTGGATGCTGAAAAATTACGTCTTCTCTTTTCTCAATGGATCAAATGATATTATTTGTTTATATGTTTATTTACTGCTGCTGATCAGATGATATTCTCTCCATGCATATTTTCCAAATTGGATAACCATTGTTCAAGTCACGTAATACCTAGATCCTCTTCATCTATTTTCTTAGCCGATTTGATTTCCATCTCTTAGCATATAGGGAAAATCGTCATCTCGACCATTCTTATTGGTCTTTGGTTCTTTCTTTTCTTTTATATGAATCTATTGATAAGCAAACCCAAAGTATCATTTTGAAGAACAAATATTGTGTTTGGTCTATTTTTTGCTTGCATGTAATCTGTGTTTGTTTTGTTTATGATCCATGTTTTAACTCCATGAAATGGTACTTTGGTGCTTGTTTGATATGGGATTGCATGGATGAAGCAGCGTGCATTGGGGTGGCTTGCATGCCTCCCATAGATTGAGATGGTTTGGTCCTAGGAAGCATAGATACAGATACGACATGATACGGATATGGTGATACGACGAAACATAAAAAAATAGGATACCGGTACGGTTAGGATACGTTTGTGAAGTATATATTTTTTAAAATTATTAATAGTGAGTTACACATATGCTAAAGAACGTTGAGAAACGAGAATGTAATTTTATAATGTAGAATACTAACCTTTAAGAATTTTGTATTAATTTAAGCTAGTAGCTTGTTTACTTTTAAAATTTTTAATAGGTCTTGCAAATATTTCATTTCAATATCAAGTTTAATATATTTGTATTACAATAGTAGACAATTCACAACTTGTCCCTATGCTTTTTCCTTTGACACTAGTGAAAAATATTGTATTCAAGTTTACTTGCTTATTTATTTATTGATATTTAATTTTACCATTGTTATATTCTCTTGTTAATTCTTACTTTTTATGTAGTTATAGGGGACATGCATGAAATAATTAGGATACATCAATTTGATAAATTCTATTATTTAACTCACTATGCTCTTCTTATCGAAGAACTTAACAAAGTATTAGAAAAATATTCTTATATTTATACTTGCAATTATATTATATTATATTACTATGCAAAAAATGTTACAATTCTAATTTCATAAAACAAGTAAACATGACTTGGAGTATCTGATACTTCAAAATTAAGTATCTGATACTTCAAAATTAAGTATCCGATACTCCAAAATTAATGAAAAAATAATTAAGAAGTATCCGATACTTTTAATAAGTATCCGATACGTATCCGCGAGTATCCAAGGAGTATCGGTGTCCGATACGGATACGTCACCCTATTTGAAGTATCCGTGCTTCATAGGTTTGGTCATATACAACGGAAACCAATAAGGTAGTAGTAAAGAGATGTGATACATTGACGGTAGACGGAAGTGTTAGAGGAAGGCACAGACCTAGATTGACGTGGGCTAGTGTAGTAAATAGAGATATGAATCTCCTTAATTTGACTAACCAAGTGGTCGTTGATAGAGTCGAGTAGAAAAGAAGGATTCATGTAGCTGATCCCATTTAATTGGACCTAAGGCTTGGTTTGGTTTAATCTATGTGGGACAAGTTCTTTCTTGGACCTTGGGCTTCCACACTGGATGAATTAATTTAGCAGGGCAAAAAAGTGAGCCTAAGCAACACTTTGTGTAGTTCCTGATATCCCACACTGATTCTTACTAATACATTTTAGTTTTCACAGTTCATTTCTGGTTTGTTTTGGGAATTAGCTATTTTAGTTGGTTTTTTGCCTTTTTATGAAAATTCATGCAGAAAAGTAGAGAGAAGAGTTGACTTTTTGGCTTTTTTAGTAGGTTGCCAAACTTGTCCTCTGTTCATGATCTCATAGAGCATCATATACAATGTCTCACACTGATTCTTCACTAAAACTTTCAGGTTCATATATGTTGGTTGGTTCATAATCACTGGCCCTGTTTGGCAGAACTTATTTGCAGCTTATTTAGCTTAAATTTTGAAATTTCATGCTTAAGCAGCTGTACTTTGAAAAGTAATGGTGTTTTGATTAAACATTTAGGTTTTCTACTTATTTGTTTTTTCAACTCAAAATAAGCTCAAAATGTCAGCTTTTTAAAGTTGGGTTTAAGATTTTTTTTAAGCTGCAAAGAAGTTTTGCCAACTGGGCATTATACCATGCCACTGATGCTATCCACCACATGCCACACATTTGCCCTAACTTGGGACTGAGGTTGGCTAATATAAATGCTTTTATTTATTTGTTAAATTCCAATCCCAGACAGGATTTATTATTTTCATCTGTGTCTCCCCTACTCCAATTTTTTAAAATCTCATACCTATATCAACAAGGGAAGTTGGAGGCAGCTACTTGTATAGCAGGTCAAGTTGCTGCCTATCTATGCTTTCGTAAGTACCAGCTGTGTGCGTGAAGCACACTAGTGGTGGCATGGCAACATTTATCAATCATCTGCAGCTAAACCTTCAAAATTTCCTGAAGTAGAAAATTATGGTAACATCATATATTATTACTACTACTACAATTCTTAAAAACTCACATACAAGAGAAAAATGACAGAAATTGTGCATAATGACATCTGATATTCCTACCACTCCCAATCTAAGGCAATAAGCCATAGTCTTTTATTTTGTCTCACTATTTGCTCAGCTGATTAAATGATCTAAGGCTTGTAATTCCACAGGGCATCATTTAGCCCTAGTTCTAACCTTTGTTTAAGGCTCCATTCTCTATAAGAAAAGGAATTTCTTTGTACATGACAGAAATAGTTGAAGTCACTTCAATGAAATTGTAGTTCTGTCCCTCCTTTCTGCATTTTGTCAGGACTGAACTGCACAAATATGGTTATTTGAATGATCAATTTTTCTTAACTTCATCTGTATTTCCTTCTAAAATGCACCTCTTTTTCTATTTGATGGATTATTTTAAACTTTGTTCTGGCATTGTTCAACAATTATGCATATTCTGTCCTCTCATTGGTCATATATTTGAAAATAAGGGGTTGGAATTGATGTCTCATGTTGCATCTTCACTACTGAAGACAATGAGTAGCTGATGCCTGCTGCATTTATGCCAAAACATGTTACTAAGGAAAATATGTTTGTGACCCCTAAAAAGCCTCCCCTAGTTTGACTCATAATGACATGGCATGTTATGTGTCAACTTTTGATTTGCCCCAAACTCAACCATAGAAAAGCCAACTCCCTTGTCACGTTATTATGGGTGCATTTGAGGATTTGAATTGTGGGTCTCTATCATTTCTATGTTACTCAGTTTCTTAATTGAAAGATATATTCTTTTCTTTGATTCTTTGCTATGTTAATAATTTCAGTCCGAGCATGATGGGTCAGATGTACAAGTGCACCTAAATGTTGAACATCATTATGAAGCAGATGTAATCCCCAACATGTCAAGGTCACCTAGGGTAAAGTACATAACCTATTATGAAGACTCTGACAGTCTTCCTGGAAAGAGAACAGTAGTTTGGGAGCTTGACAAGGGTATGTAAAATGTCTCACAAGGATCAAGTTTTGAAGAGCGACGTAAGTAAAAATTTACATTTACATCCTTATCCCTATCCCTATCCCTATGGCCTTTGCATCACTAGTTCTTTTGCTTATGTTTTATTTATTTTTTTGTTGGTTCTTTCGTTGCTTTAGGGGTTTGATGTAGCGAACATACCTGGTGTCAATCAGTTCCATCAAATTCTTCCAATGGACATTACCTACAACACTAAACATTTCGAATGGTATTCGCAGCTTGCAGTTGATGAATACATGAGGCATTTAATTGATGATTGTATTTTATTTCAAGTTATAAACATAATACTACTTAGCTTATTCATGACAACATTTGTAGGACACAAATAAAGAGTTGGAGTTTGTGAAGGTTTTGAAGGCAATGTCTCAGGCTGCCTGTGTACTCAGGTTTTATATGACCTTCAGCGCCAAGGATCTTGCTGATGGAGGCAATATTAAGACATATCAAGCTGTGGTGCTAATGGGGGTAGGTTCTAAGATGTCAGTGTTATCTTTCAGGCTCAAACCTCCTGAGGATGAACAAGGTAAGGCAGATGCATTTTCTTCTTTGCAATTTCCACCCTTAAATGTCTGAGATAACAAATAACTGATTAGAAAGTGTATATGCTTAGGAATTATAAATATGAGGGTGATTGTTGAATCTTTGTTTTTCTTTAGCACAATATTGGCTGCTATTTCATTTATTTGTTTAGATGTTAGAAAGTTTAGTATTTGAAGCTCCATTTGTTTTGGCAAAATACTTTCTTCTACATTTTATGACGTCTGATACGACAGAAAACGAAATTCAACAAAAATATTTTCGTGCTCAATGGAAAACAAGTTTATTTGGGTAAAAAATGTTTTCAGTTTTTTAAATGTGGAAAACATTTTTTGAACTTGTATCTTACCAACCCCACTACCATTGTCACTACCCCTACCAACCACAATTCTGTCATCATATCTCTTACTAGCAGCAGGTGCACACGCAATGTTGTGCAAAGGTCTGTAAAAAGTGTGAGGAAGCATTCACACCAACTGACACGTGCACTTTATATAATAGCATAAATAGTATAGATAATTAGTTAGTTTTTCTGTTGGTAAAGGAAAGAAAGTTCTATGATTTTTATGGCTACAGGCTTATTACTTGGCTGTGCCCTTTCCAATTGAGAAAGCTCCGATTAGGGAGATAACTACTTTGAATGGTGGGGTGAAAATCTCTGAGCTGTTAAATTATCCAGTCAGAGGTCTTGTTTTTGAGGGTGGAAATACTCTGGAAGATTTGTCCAATGCTGTCTCGGATTCCTGCATTTGCCTTCAAGATAACATTCAAGTGGGAGCGTTGTGCTTGTGAGCAGGATTGATTAGCCTCAGTAATGCTCATGAAGAATCTTCAAGTTGGTGTATGCCCTAAGTGAACTACAAACTAAGCTTCAGAAGTGATTGAAGTAGCTAAATTGGAATAGCCTTGTAGGTCCTATTTGGACAGAGAACAGAATTTTATTTCATTCCTGTGGTTTTTCTCGAGCAAGATGATTTATTTAATCTAGTGAATTTTTGTGAAAATCTTTTGCAGAACCGTACCTGACTCGGATTATTGGTGGTTTTGCTTTCAGGAGATAATGCACGATCCTCAGGTGGCAGCCGATGGATTCACCTACGAAGGAGATGCTCTGCGTGGATGGTTGGAAAATGGCCGAGAAACTTCCCCGATGACCAATTTGAGACTGGATCACTTGCATCTCACTCCCAACCATGCACTGAGACTTGCTATTCAAGATTGGCTTTGCAAAGTTTAACATACCATTCGTATACATTCAGTCTATGTCATAATGTATATTTGTAGAGTCTTCTTGTATTTGGAGAAAAAAAAACCCTTTTACCATTGTATTTGGATAACTATTGAAATATTCTGTCTAAAGAGGACTGGGAGAAACAACAGGCTAAAGAGGTAGAGCATTGCATTGGCTTCTGTATGCCAGTTGTATCAAAATCTTGTATTGGTATCACGAACTTTTTTTTATGTATTTTATTTTATTTGTATGTTAATAGGTTAGTAATAAGGTAGCTTACAACGAATGAGCTATGGTCGCTCTATCGATTCGTTGTTGCTATTGCACATATGAAACTGAATTAATGCTTCATTTGTTATCGGTTTGTTGCTGTGGGGCTACCGTTGTCACTTCGACTCACAGGACTGTTGCTTATGGTTACTGATCGTGCTAGCTTCATGTGACTCTGTCGAGATTTCTCATGGGGTAGATTTTTTCCTCTGTCACGGCTTTTGTTGAGTGGCTAGGATGTCACGGCTGTGAGGAGTGGGATGCTTACTGGATTCCATGTGTTGATCTACGGTAGAGACTGGGGGCGAATGTGGTTGGTTATCATTTTTTATTTGTCTTGAGGGTTGTTGCTTTGTGAGTTTGCTTGTTGTGGCTTTTAAATTTTTTGGTGTTTGTTTGTATCTTTGCCCATATATCCATCCCAAGTTTCCGTCTATTATCTTTGATGGTAGGGGTTACTTGGGGATAAAAGGATATATGGGCAAAGTTGGGTTACTTTGTTTTTTTCTGTTGTTCTTGTGGTTCTCCCCCAATCTTAGGGGGTGCAGTGGTAGGTTATGTTGGTTATGCATTCGTTTTTTTATTTGTTGTTGGGTATGCCTGGGGTATGCCCCTTGTAAACTTGTAAATTTCATTGTCTTTATTTTATGACTTACTTACCCAAAAAAAAAATTTAGCTCAGACAACCAATTGTTTTCATAACCTTAAGTGGGGAAGTAGAACTCAAACTAACCTTGCTTTGCCTCTAAGAAAGAGAATTTTCTGAGTAATTCTAGCTTAACAGTATTAGTTTAACTTAAGCACCTCACTTAAGGTTTCTGACTCACCTAATTGTTCAATTCTCAAGACCGAAATTGTGAATTTGAACTCCCTTTCATTTTCTTCCTATTTCTCTTTCTTTTCTGTGACTTTCTCTTCTATCTCTCACGAAGATAGTTTATCTAGAAGTTTCTCTGTCCTTCACCTTCCTTCTTTCTTTTGTTCTAGGAGCTTTGCCTTCCTTCTTTCTTTTGTTCCAGGAACTAATTTGCTTTGGCAACTAATTGTTTCATAAGCTTAAGTGGCCAAGTTTAACTCAAACCAGTCTTTCTTAGCCTCCAAGAAAGAGACTTTACCGAGTAATTGTAGCTTCGCGATATTAGCTTAACTTAAGCAACTCATTTCATGTTTTCTAAGTCACCTAAGTGTTCAATTCTCAAGTTCAAAAGGACGAATTTGAATTCCCTTTAATTTTCATCCTATTTCCCCCAAGTTCAACCCAAACTAATCTTGCTTAGCCTCTAACAAAGAGAATTTACTGAGTAATTGTAGCTTAACGATACTAGTTTCACTTAAGAACCACATATAAGGTTTTCTAAATCACCTAAGTGTTCAATTGTCAAGTCCGAAAGGATGAATTTGAATTCCGGTTGATTTTCGTCCAATTTCTCTTTCTTTTCTATGACTTTCTCTTCTTGCTCTCAAGAAGAAAGTTTCTCCGTAACTTCCTCCGTCCCTCTCCTTCCTTCTCTCTTTTGTTCTAAAAACTAATTAGGCTTGGTAAATAATTGTTTCATAAGCTTAAGTGACCGAGTTTAACTGAAACTAATCTTGCTTAGCTTCTAAGATACATAATTTTCTAAGCAATTGTAACTTAACGATACTCGTTTAAGTTAAATACCTCATTTATGGTTTTCTAAATCAACTGAGTGTTCAATTCTCAAGTCAGAAAGGATGAATTTGAATTCTTTTCGATTTTCTTCATATTTCCCCTTCTTTGCACTAACCTTTTTTTCTTTCAAGCTCCGAAGAAGGAAGTTTCTCTATAACTTTCTCCGTCCCTCTCCTTCCTCCTCTCTCTTCTGTTCTACGTACTTATTAGCTTAGGTAACAAATTGTCTCATAAGCTTAAGTGGCCAAGTTTAACTCAAGCTAATCTTGCTTAGCCACTAAGATAGCGAACTTTCTGAGTTATTGTAGCTTAACGATATTAGTTTAACATAAGCACCTCATTTAAGATTTTCTAAATCACCAAGGTATTCAATTCTCAATTTCACAAAAATTGAATTTGAATTCTCTTTGAATTTCCTCCTATTTCTCTTTCTTTTCTCTAACTTCTCTTCTAGCTCTCAAGAAGGAAAGTTTCTCTGTAACTCTCTCCGTCCTTCTTCTTCCTTCTCCCTTTTGTTCTATAAACTAATTAGCTTAGGTGAGTAATTGTTTCATAACCCTAAGTGGCGGAGTTTAACTCAAACTATCCTTGCTTGGCCTCTAAGAAAGAGCATTTTCTATAGCTCAACGATATTAGTTTAATATAAGAACTTCATTTAAGGTTTTTGAAATCGCCTAAGTGTTCAATTCTCGAGTCCAAAAGGTTGAATTTGAATTCCCTTTGATTTTCTTCCTATTTCTCTTTTTTTGCTCTAACTTTCTCTTCGAGCTCTCAAGAAGAAAGTTTCTCTGTAACTCTCTCCTTCCTTCTCCTTCTTTCTCCTTTGGTTCCAGAAACAAATTAGTTGTGGTAACTAATTATTTCATAAGCTTAAGTGGCCAAGTTTAACACAAACTAATCTTGCTTACCCTCTAAGAAAGAGAATTTTCTTAGTATTTTTTTTTTTTTTTGGGTGAGTAAGTCATAAATTAAAGGCAAAAATTTACACATTTACAAGGGGCATACCCCAAGTAATACAAGATGTCTAACTTGACCCCCCAAAAAGGGGGAAAGAAAACAAATAAAATATACTATAATCAACAAAAACCAGAAAACCAATTTTGCCCATATATCTTTTTTTCCCCAAGTGACCCCTACTATCAGAGATAATAGAAAGAGACTTGGGAAAGAGAATTTTCTTAGTAATTTTAGCTTGACGATATTAGTTTTACTTCAGCAACTCGTTTAACGATTTTGAAATCACCTAAGTGTTCAATTCTCTAGTCCAAAAGGATGAATTTGAATTTCCATTTTGTTCCAATTTCTCTTTCTTTGCTCTTACTTTCTCTTCTAGCTCTCAAGAAAATAGTTTCTCCGTAACTTCCTCCGTCCTTCTCCTTCCTTCTCTATTTTGCTCTAGAAACTAATTAGCTTAGGTAACTAATTGTTTCATAGGATTAAGTGGCCAATTTTAACTCAAACTAAGCCCTCTAGGAAATTGAATTTTTTGAGTAATTGTAGCTTAACGATACTAGTTTCACTTAAGAACCACATATAAGGTTTTCTAAATCACCTACGTGTTCAAATCTGAAGGCAGAAAATAATGAATTTGAATTTCTTTTGATTTTCTTTATATTTCTCTTTCTTTTCTATAACTTTCTCTGCTAGTCCACAAGAAGAAATTTCTCTGCAACTTTCTCCGTCCTTCTCCTACCTTATTTCTTTTGTTCTACGAACTAATTAGGTTTGGTAACTAATTGTTTCATAAGCTTAAGTGGCCAAGTTTAACTCACACTAATCTTAGCCTCTAAGAAAGTTTCTCTGTAACTTTCTACGTCCTTCTCACTCCTTCTCTCTTTCATTCTAGAAACTAATTAGCTTAGTCATAAACTTAGGTCGCCAAGTCTTACTCGAACTAATCTTGCATAATCTCTAAGAAATAGAATTTTCTGAGTAATTGTAGTTTAACGATATTGGTTTAACTTAAGCACCTCATTTAAGGTTTCTCAAGACCGAAAGTGTGAATTTGAACTCCATTTGATTTTCTTCCTATTTCTCTGACTTTCTCTTCTATATCTCTCAAGAAGATAGTTTATCTGGAAGTTTCTCTGTCCTTCACCTTCCTTCTTTCTATTGTTCCAGGAACTAATTTGCTTAGGCAACTAATTGTTTCATAAGTTTAAATGGCCAAGTTTAACTCAAACTAATCTTGCTTGGCCTCGAATAAAGTGATTTTTCTGAGTAATTCTAGTTTAACGATATTAGTTTAATCTAAGCACCTCATTTAAGGCTTCCAAAATCATCTAAGTCTTCAATTCTCAAGTCCGAAAGGATGAATTTGAATTTCTTTTGATTTTCTTCCTCTTTCTCTTCCATTTCCCTGACTTTCTTTTCTAGCTCTCAAGAAGAAAGTTTCTCTATAACTTTCTCCGTCCTTCTCTCTTTTGTTCTAGAAACTAATCAGCTTAGTTAACTAATTTTTTTACAAGCTTAAGTGGCCAAGTTTAACTCAGACTAACCTTGCTTAGCCTCTAAGAAAGACAATTTTATGTGCAATTGTAGCTTAACGATATTTAAGGTTTTCTAAATCACCTAAGTGTGCAATTCTGAAGTCAAAAATGATGAAGTTGAATTTCCTTTGTTTTTTTCCTATTTCTCTTTCCTTTCTCTAACTCTCTCTTCTGGCTCTCAAGAACAAAGTTTCGCTGTAACTTTCTCTGTCCTTCTTTCTTTTTTCTAGAAACTAATTAGCTTAGCTAACTAATTGTTTCATAAGCTTAATAATTGGCCAAGTTTAACTCAAACTAATCTTGCCTAGCCTGTAAGAAATGGAATCTTCTGTGTAACTATAACTTAATCATGTTAACTTAAGCAACCCATTAAATATTTTCTAAATCACCTTAGTGTTCAATTCTCACGTCCAAAATGATGAATTTGAATTCCCTTTGATTCTTTTTTGTTTTCTTTTCCTTTCTATTTCTCATTCTTTTCTCTAACTTTCTCTTCTAGCTCTCAAGAAGATAGTTTATCTGTATCTTTCTCTGTCCATCTTCTTCCTTCTCCCTTTTGTTCTAGAAACTAATTAGCTTAGGTAACTAACTGTTTCATCAGCCTAAGTGGCCAAGTTTAAATCAAGCTAATTTTCCTTAGCCTCTAACGAAGAGAATTGTCTTAGTAATTGTAGGTTGTATCAATATCAAAATAACTTCAACACCTCATTTAAGGCTTTCTAAATCACCTAAGTGTTCAATTGTCAAGTCCGAAAGGATGAATTTGAATTCCGGTTGATTTTCTTCCAATTTCTCTTTCTTTTATATGACTTTCTCTTCTTGCTCTCAAGAAGAAAG